AATATGTAAGACACTTACAGTAGTGCTTTGTACTATTATTTTTTTATTAATACCTATTTTTCCTTCTCAATTTTATCTCCCAATGTCCCATAACCATGCTGAGTTCATTACAATTTTCCCGGACCTCCTGGACTAAGTGAGACCTGGAAGAGTACACTCAAGGGCAGTCAACAGGGACAGATTCTGCTAATTTGGGATTTGTTAAGTTGTGCTAGTTTGAAATATACCTCTGTACTCCTCTCAGGAAATGCTGGATAGTGTATATTTAGTATCATATTATAGTAATAATGTTGGCAGACTCTGATGTTTCCTCCTTTCCTTGTGATCTCTGTAGTCTTGTACCATTCATACATCAAATGACTTAGCAACTAACATCAGCTAATATTTATTAAGCTCTTTTGATATGCCCAGTAGTATGCCAAGTGTTTTTCTTTCTATTTTTAACATAATATTGATAGCTCCATGAGGTGGGTTTATATTTTGTTAAAATAATTTTCCATGTCCCCTTCCCCCAGTAGATTGTGACAGTGGCTTATACATCTCTGTATGTTATTCAGTTTCTATGGCTAGGACTTGACAGAGGACCTAATACAGGGTGGGTGCTCTATAAATGTGTACTTGGATGCATTTTACCAACAGCTATTTACATTCAAATAATAAGCTAATTGTAACTCTTTTCTAGAAGTATTTTTCTCATTGCAAAAATTCACTGTCGAAATTTTTTAAAACACTAATAAGCAAGAAGAAGGAAGTTAAAATTGCACTCCTTCCAGCCCCAGAGAGTTTAATCAACTTGCTTAGGAACACCCTATTAAATGTCTAACCTGAGCATCAAAATCTGGCCATCTGGCTTCAGAGCTCAGGCTCTTAACAGTTACATTATACCACTGATCCCGCCCCATCCACCCTAACACACACACTCCCCTGCACAAGCAAAATATGTGAGCTATTAAAAGAAATTGTAAGAATGGAAATGTGCAATTAAATGTTGCAATGTATGCAATCTATAGTTTTAAAATTTACAGTATTCAGTGTTTTCCTGTCTTCACACTAGTTCCCTCCATTATTTAGGGCAATCCTGATGAAAATCAACAAAACACAGATTGAGAGGCAGTACTGAGAGGTCATGTAGAAAGAGAGTGCCTTCTGAGTCAAACATGAGTGTGGATCCCATTTAAGCCACTGGATGTGTTACCAGAGATGAGCTACAAAACATTTCTCAGTCTCTTGTAAAATAGAGGTAATAAGAAAGACTTTTCAGTATTTTGTGTTGTATAGTAGTGAACTGATGGTGGCGTGCATCACACTTGTTAATAGTAGGTCCTGTTGCTAAGTCTCTAATGGTGATACCCTATGGCTTGCCCAAATGGCAACATTGCCACATTGTTTTCCAAAGCTACATGTGGCTTTTTTTCTTCCAATTCTTCATTTTAATTCTCATGATAATTTAACTTTTATATTTTTATTAGATGCATTTAGTAACTCGCCTCAGTCATTTTCTTGGAAATTCAATTTCTTCTCCACAGGGTCTCTTTTGAGATTAAAGAGAGAGAGAAGTGGCAAATTTAGGATGTTAGAACAATTTTCATTTAAAAGTAGATCCTTGTTTTTCTTACCCTACCATTAATGTTTTCTGTTTTCCTTTATCAGCGAGTTACTTCTCATTCGATTCATATTGCCAAACTGAACTCTCGTTTTCCTGCAAGATGAAAGGAGGCAACCATGAATGAGCCACTAGACAATTTAGCAAATGCTTCTGATTTCCCCGATTATGCAGCTGCTTTTGGAAATTGCACTGATGAAAACATCCCACTCAAGATGCACTACCTCCCTGTTATTTACGGCATTATCTTCCTTGTGGGATTTCCAGGGAATGCAGTAGCGATTTCCACTTACATTTTCAAAATGCGACCCTGGAAGAGTAGCACCATCATTATGCTGAATTTGGCCTGCACAGATCTGCTGTATCTGACCAGCCTCCCCTTCCTGATTCACTACTATGCCAATGGCGAAAACTGGATCTTTGGAAATTTCATGTGTAAGTTTATCCGCTTCAGCTTCCATTTCAACCTGTACAGCAGCATCCTCTTCCTCACCTGCTTCAGCATCTTCCGCTACTGTGTGATCATTCACCCCATGAGCTGCTTTTCCATTCACAAAACTCGATGGGCAGTGGTAGCCTGTTCTGTGGTGTGGATAATTTCACTGGTAGCTGTCATTCCCATGACCTTCTTGATCACATCAACCAGCAGGACCAACAGATCAGCCTGTCTTGATCTTACCAGTTCAGATGAACTCGGTACTATTAAATGGTACAACCTAATTTTGACTGCAACCACCTTCTGCCTCCCCTTGGTGATAGTGACACTTTGCTATACCACAATTATCCACACTCTGACCCATGGACTACAAACTCACAGCTGCCTTAAGCAGAAAGCTCGAAGGCTAGCCATTCTGCTACTCCTCGTATTTTACGTATGTTTGTTACCCTTTCATATCTTGAGGATCATTCGTATCGAATCTCGCCTGCTTTCGATCAGCTGTTCCACTGAGAATCAGATCCATGAAGCTTACATCGTTTCAAGACCATTAGCTGCTCTGAACACCTTTGGTAACCTGCTACTGTATGTGGTGGTCAGTGACAACTTTCAGCAGGCTGTCTGCTCAATAGTGAGATGCAAAGCAAGCGGGGACCTTGAGCACGCAAAGAAAACCAGTTACTCAAACAACCCTTGAAATACTTCATTTACTTAACCAGAAATAAATACTTGCTGATACTTTACCTAGCACTCCTAAGATGTTCAGGATGTCTCCCTCAATGGAACTCCTGGTAAATACTGTGTATTCAAGTAATCATGTGCCAAAGCCAGGGAAGGCTTCTAGTTATTTGCAATCTCTTTATTGAGCTCCTCCATTGAAGAGATATAAGAATGGGATGCAGCAAAGTATTCAGACTTGGTATTATAAGTTGTTGGAACTCAGAGGCATCTTAGAGAACATCTGTTCCCACCAACTTATTATATATACATGGAAACCAATTTCATACCCTTGCCCTAGATTGCTCAGTAAATGAGTGCCAAGGTAGGAGAAAACCAATCTTTTCACTCATCATTTCATGCTCCTCCGCACTCCGGACCAATTTGTATTAAACCATTACACGATTCAAACCACTACTTTTATCTTTCTTAATATTTATTCTTTACATCTCATAGCTCTACAATTTGTTTCCTTCTAGCTTAAATTCGATATTGTAAAACTGGGTTTAGCCAGATCTGTATTTTACTTGCAAACCAGTAAGATACCTTTGAAATGATTCAAGGACATCCATGCAAATAGCTGAAATTAGTACCTGCAGCATATTTGGAGTATTCTGTCTTTATTATTGCAGACCACTTAAGAAGTTTTTATTGAATTTATAAAAAAAATTATCAAATTGTATTCATCATAATTAACATGTCCTGGGGAAGGAAGGGAAACTTTCGAGGACCAGAAGTCACTTTCAGATATCACGTATGTATTGGGTGTTCAATCATTTCTAATGCTATTTTGATTTTTGTGGGGAAATATTCCAGGAAACATTAATTCTCTTTAGATTTCTTGTTCTTTTATGACTACAGTGAACATGTGTATTTAATAGCTAAAGGTATTTTTGAATTGTATGTGTGCTTAATTATCAGTAAGTATAAATATTTGAGAAAATAACTGGTCTGGATATTTGAAACTCTTATAAATATGCTGCTAGAATTAATAAACTTATTTATAGTTATAGGCTGTTTGGTCATATTTTTCTGTGAAAATGCAGTTTTATCACTATTATATTTACATGAAACTTATTTTCTCTGTGGTTAGGAACAAAAATAAGTAAGAATCAATAATATTATAAAATAAAGCTGAAATAGTTGACTTACTCAGAGGGAAGGGTACCATAGAAATTCTTCCTGATGTTCCAGTTTTTTTAGGATACAACATCTGACTTAGATCTAAGTGAGGATGTTCATCAGGAACCTCTTCAGAGCAAGTTGGGAGAAGGAAGAGGAAGCCAGTGGATCTGAATATGAACTTTTCTGGACAATGGTGCTTTTTGCAACCCCTACCTTCTGAGCCATCTTCTTCTGAGCATTTCTATAATGTGTGAAATGAGTTATTTCACTAGAGGACCCCAACTTTCTCATCTGCTCTGGCCGTACAGCATCAAGAAGTATTCAGAGGTCCATTTGGAACTGCTAGATCTTTTTCTTTTCCCTGATGCCTAGACCAGCCCCTGGGCTATCACCAAAGTGCAGACAGACTTGCCTGTATTCCACTGCTATCATTATTCTAGCTTTGTGCACAAATCCCTTTTTTTTTCTCTCCCCATCTTATTCTTTCTTATTCCAAAGAGTTCACCCACCAGAGAAAAGCCACCTCAACCTCCTTCATGTCGTTCTCAACTCATCTCTGTAGTTTCTTTTATCTTTTAACCTTCTTCCTACCAATGTACAGAAAAATAAATCATCCCTCTGGCAGGAATTCTTGCACTGTATCTCTGGTCTTTATTTTGTTCTCTTAGGGACCTTGCTCCAACTCTTAATCTCACTTTCTCACATTTTTAACATTTTTATTACCCTGGATAATTGACCTTAGCTTGGGAGCATGCATGATTTTCCATTATCCGAAAAATGCCTCCCCTTGATTAAGCTTTTCTGTCATTCTGTTACCTGATCTGCTTCCCACAGCTGTGAGTTGGGTGCAGATGACAGTCTGCCCTCCAGCGTTCTGTGGATAGAACAGAATCACAGAGATCCAAGCTAAATTTAATTCTAAGGGTCAGTTTTATTTTACAAAGTCAAGAGTTCTGGGTTAATTGTGCTGGAGGAGGCAGTTTTGAACTGAGGCCAAAAGATGAGATTGATGCTATTTCCTAGGCTAGAAGGGGACCTATGTGAACTTGCATACAACCAGGCTAGGCAGAGAAAGACAGAGTAAGAACAAAAAAGTGGAGCTCTGACTGTGTCCACCAGACTCAGATCTGCTCGCTGTGTGAGACCCGAAAGTACAAGTCAGGCTCACTGCACCTGCGTATGGGGAAGTCAAAAAAACCTGTTCCAAACTTCTGAGACACAGTAATCCCTTCCATTATTTTAACTCTTTATTGTGGACATTTTCAAATAGTCACAAAATTTAAAAAGGAGCCAAATGACCATATGTAACCCATGTCTTAATTTCATCAGGAGTCAACATCCCACCCTTAAGGTTTATCTCTCTTTTCTCACATGTTTTTTTGCTAGAATATTTAAAAGCAAATTCTAGACAACATAGTTTTACCTATAAATGCGTCAACACAGACTTCTTTCAAAACACACAAAGCTAAAACAAAATAATAACTGATTCCTCAATATTATCTAATACTAATCCCTGTTTCATTTCTGCTGTTTCTCCCCAAAATATATTTTTACAGTTTCTTTCCAATAAGGATCAAAGGAAGCTCCTTTGCATCACATTTAGTTGACATGACTCTTAAATTTATTTTAATCTGTTAGAGCTCCCCTTTCCTTTATTTATTGCCATTTATTTGCTGAAGAAATCAAGTCAAGTCATTTGTCCTGTAGAATTTTCAACGTTGTAGGTCGGGCTGTTTTAATTCCATTTTGTTGTTTATCACATGCCTCCAACCTGCACATTTGTGTGTTTCCTATTCGAAAAATAAAATATTTTAATATTATTTACTTCCTCTATTGGATTCTTAGTTATATTTTTGAATTCTTTTTATTTTATAGTAATTTTCTAGGGCTATAAATATCTTACCTTAAGTATCATAAATGCTTTAGAGTCAATTGTGTGTATTTTATACTTCACACTTAATTTTTTCCACTCCCTACTGTCATCTTTTCTCTTCTTATCTCATACTTGATGCTTTGTATTTTTCACTTCCCACTTCTTCTATCTTCAAAATGGAACAACATTACAACAGTATTACGCCATTTACTCACTCTAACTTCTGTGCTATTGCTGTCAAAACTTGTAGGTTTAAACATATTATTAACTCTAGTTTGCATTGTTAATATTTTTTACTTTAGTCAGTTTTCCTTTAAGAAAATTACAATAAGAAAAGAAATAATCTTCTATAGTTTCCTACTTATTTACCAATACCATACTTTCCATTTCTTCCTGGAGATAAGAGTGTTCATCTGCCATCATTTTCCTCCAACCAAAAAACATTCTTTAGCGTTTATTATAATGCAGGTCCGCTGAAGAGAAATTTTCGCAGCATTTATCTGAAAATATCATAATTTAACTTTTTTAAGAAAGATGTTTTCACTGAACATAGAAATGCCACTGGATAGAGGATTGCCACTTTTAATTTTAGCGCTTCAGAGATGTTGTTCCATTATCCATTCATTTCTATTGTTTCTGATAACAAGTGAGCTGTAAGTCCTTTCATTGTTTCCTGTATGTAATATGTTTTCTTCATCCTCTTGTTCTTTTAAGATTTTCTCTTTATTGCTGTTATAAAGCAATTTGATTATTCTGTGTCTAGGTATAATTTTCTTTGTATTTATAATGCTTAAGAATTATTAATAACCTTGAATCTTATAATGTAATCTTTTTCATCAAATTCAGAGAATTTTTAGGCATTATTTTTTCAAATATGTATTCCACCCCATCTTCACTGTTCTTCTCATGAAACTCCAGTTACACTTACGTTGCACAGCTCAATACAGTGGCACTGGTCACTGAGACTTTGTTCGTGTCTTTTCAATCTTATGACTCTCTATTCTTCAGATCTATTTAGTTAATTGTTTCTTCTATTATCTCCAATTTCCTGTCAAGCTCAATAAGTGAACTTTAAATTTCAGTTATTTTATTTCTTGGTTCTATAATTTCTTTTTTTTTTTAATGATACTTTAAATTCTGGGATACATGTGCAGAACGTGCAGGTATGTCACATAGGTATACACGTGCCATGGTGGTTTGCTGCACCCACCAACCCATCATCTACATCAGGTATTTCTCCTAATGTTATTCCTCTCCTTGACCCCCACACCCCACCAGGCCCCAGTATGTGATGTTCCCCTCCCTGTGTCCATGTGTTCTCATTGTTCAACTCTTACTTATGAGTGAGAACATGCAGTATGCAGTTTTCTGTTCCTGTGTTAGTTTGCTGAGAATGATGGTTTCCAGCTTTATCTATTTCCCTGCAAAGGACATAACTCATCCTTTTTATGGCTTCATAATATTCCATGGTGTATATGTGCCACCCAGTCTATCATTGATGGGCATTTGGGTTGGTTTCAAGTCTTTGCTATTGTGAACAGGGCCACAATAAGCATATGCATGCATGTGTCTTTATAGTAGAATGATTTATAATCCTTTGGGTATATACCCAGTAATAGGATTGCTGGGTCAGATGGTATTTCTGGTTCTAGATCCTGAGGAATCACCAAACTGTCTTCCACAATGGTTGAACTAATTTACCCTCCCGCCAACAGTGTAAAAGTTTCCTATTTCTCCACATACTCTCCAGTATCTGTCGTTTCCTGACTTTTTAATAATCACCATCTAACTAGTGTGAGATGGTATCTCAGTGTGGTTTTGATTTGCATTTCTCTGATGACCAGTGATGATGAGCTTTTTTTCATATGTTTGTTGGTCACATAAATGTCTTCTTTTGAGAAGTGTCTGTTCATATCCTTTGCCCACTTTTTGATTTCTAATGATTTTTTTTCTTTAGCTATGGCACAGGCTTTTCTGTTTTTTGTATCAATTATCTTTTTACTGATACTATGAATAAATCATTGTAGAGATTCTACTATTATCTCTGAAGACTTGGGAGTTTTTTTCCTAGTAGAGAGATCATTTAGTGCTAATCGCCTTGAAATTGTGTTGGCTTGGTTTTGTAATTTTTAAGAACATATTTGTGAGAAGCCCAAGATGTTTACCAAACTCTTTTAATACAATAAAACCCAATTATCAAATTCAGTTTCTCTTGTGGTCTTGCTTAGATTTGGTTTTAGCCTTTTTTTCCCCAAAATAGATCTAGAGTAGGGTTAACTCTAAGGCATGGTCTTTTATTTCTGCTCTCTCTAGTAGGTGAGCTAGTAGGGTGTTAATGAGATTATTTTTCTTCTTTGTAGGCTGGAACTCTAATGTTCTAAGTCACTGCTTGATCACCAGTGTCTCTGTTCCCATAGCTTCTTTCTGATTAGCCTTAAGTAGTCTCTCCCTGCAAACACAGCCCTTGGCACAGAAATCAGATAATTTTTCCCTATTCTGCCCATGCTTTCCTCTCCCTTGGTGCCCTGCTTTAAATCTTTATGTTGAACACTGACCTCTGCCTCCTCAGCTCAAAGGGACCATTGTGTTCTGTTTTGATTCCAGATTTTTGTGGTGTGGTCAGGAAATTATGCCAGACCATGAGCCAGAGAGGCAGGATGATTATGGGCTTGCAGTATTGCTCTATCTATCATCCCATGCCTGGAAACATTTGATTAATGTATTTGATCCAGTTTCATTGTTACCAGTGGGAGGGGCTCTCCCTTATATTCCACTGTGATCTATCCCAGGTGAGGGAGCAGAAGCCATGTGGAATGCCTCCTGCCTTTCTCATTAATGCTGTTTACCATCTATCTGTCTAAAGTGTGAGAGCTTCAATTTAAACATGACAGTTTAACCATGACTCTTCATTCCTAAAATGATGCTAAAATAGTAACAGTAATATTGATATGAAGAGGAGGCAGAAGGGCAGGGACCCTGGAAAGGGCTCCACCCTCAATGCTGGACCTATTGTCCTAAATGAGAACAGGTATGCCCATTTTCATGCCCAAATGTTGCTTTTACCAAAGCCAGTTTGGCCTGCCACGGTCTCCTATCCGGTAGCCATAAAAACCCCAAACCCCACCCTCCATGAGTAGAAGAGCAGAAGGGCAGCAGAGTAGCACAGAAGAGAAAGGGAGAAGAGAAAAGCATCTCAACACTGAGAGGAAATTGGCTGGGGATTGTTGGAAAGACAATTTACCACCAGACGGCTGAACTCATGGGGAAGATCATCCTCCCACTTCATCCCCTTTCCAGCTCCCCATCCATCTTACTGAAAGCCACCATCATCATTTAATAAAACTCCTGCATTCACCATCCTTCAAGTCTGTGTGACCTGATTCTTCCTGGACACCAGACAAGCACCTGAGTACCAAGAGGGCAGAGTTTAAAAAGCTGTCACCCTGACTCTCCTCTGAGCTGGTTTAATACTTAGCTGTCTGTGGATGGCAACTGCTAAAAAAAGCATTAATTGTAACACATCCCTAGATGCTACTGTAGGCCTGGAACCCAAAAACACTTGCCCTGGCTCCTGCACCTGCCCATCTTCATGCTCCCCCACCTATAAGTGGTTGGAGCAAACAAGCCACAACCTGTTACAAGTCCCATGAGAGGGTCAGGGAACTCACCCATTTTAATATAACCCTAAAGATATTAAAAGCTAAAAGCTTATGGATAAATGGTGAAACAAAAGGGACCCAATGCTGGCAGTGGAGAGAACCCAGAGACAGAGTAATACATTCTGCTAAACTCCAAAATATTCAGAAATTAGGGCTGCCAATTACGTCTCAAAGAGGATTATAAGTAAACTGACAATAGGAAGTTTCATTTAAAGTCTGAATAAAAAACAATTACACCCCTAGATATCATCCCTTGTCCTGTGCAAATCAATAATTACCTCACTTCTACACCAGGAGAATTCTTGGTTTCTCATTCTGGAGAGGTTGGAAGAAGGAGCAGAAATATTCTTGACCTAAGGACAATAAATATAATCAAAGGAAGGGCAAAGGTGAGGTCCTAAATTTTGTATAGAAATTCTTGGCTCCAATAACACTGGCAGTTCATGCTTACCTTTTCTGCCAGAACATGATAGATTTCTTCTCTAGGGAAATGGAAAATATGGCAATGATAGATATAACTTATATAGCACTAGTGATGTGTTGGGCTGTGTTTTAACTGCTTTCTTTAAGAATGTACAGTCTGACTCCAGACCCCATGTATAGAACCACAATACCATGCTGCTTTTCACAAAAGGAGAAATCATTTAGATACCAACAGTTGAGAAACAGCTCAGCCTGCCCACCTTACA